ATGCACGATCTCGATTGATAAAATGAATCGTAATGAATTTAATAAATCGCAGCCGAAATTGCGGATATGTGATTATTACTTGAGGTATCTGATATAACTTTTCAAGCTGACCTCAATAAGCTTAACCTTTCTTGTAAGGTGTAGAAGGTAAACATTTGTTCTTTGACGTCTTCAGAGTACTTGTACTGCTGAGCTAGATCAAGCACAAAGGCTTCCTTGCATCGGCAACGAGTGAAATGACAATGACGTCTTAGCCTTTAATCTTTTCTTGACCCCTGAACTTCGCCTTGAACCCAACCCTAACCCCAAAATCACTCACCTGTACTGGGGTTGACTGAAGTGCTGTTTTGTCGTCTCGAACCACTTGGTAAGCTAATTACAAATCGCATGCAAGGTGTTGCATAGATTGTTTTAGAACGGCCCGGTAGCTTTCATGTCATATGTGGGTCATTCCCAAACTGATGCCAGCAAAGGCCATCAAACGCCGAACTTTTCCTATTTTGCATGTCTTGAGTGCCGAGCTAACCATAAAAGCCTAATGACAATTGATGACTAAAAGGAAACACTGCCGTTCTTCTTGCCGTTCATCGCCTATGGATAGACGATAATGTTATGTTATGTAACATGTTATGTAGCAAACAAATAAAGAGGCTAAAAAAGGTTCAAATAGGCTCACTTTTCGTGAGCCAGAGAGGACAACAGAAATTGTTCGTGGGCTACGTTTGGTTCTGAAGAACCACCAGGGGGACGCTTCAAGACTGCAAAGAAACATTGTCGGCGCTCTGCTTGTCATGCTCGCCTATCGATATTTACCCGCGAGTTGCTGGGGGGGGGGGGGCGTTAAACGCCCCCACTTTTTTCGCCGGTATGCCAAATTTTGGGTACCTGTAGGGAATTGATTGAAATTTATTGTGACAAAGTTTAAAAAAAAATCGGTCGGAAAACTTTTGAAATATCGAGGTTTTAGTGACGTCATGATTTCTGAGTTTTCGACCAAAAACGGCATATGTTCAAAAAATCATATAAAATCACAGAACAGACATACAGACATGCCGTAAACGTCATTAGACTGCCAATACCATGAACATCGTTCCACATTTTCCAAAATCTTGAACTGAATCTTGGCAATTTCTCGTGACTACTTCACGACCATGATACATGCATTTCTTTAATTGAACTTTTTGAGCCAAACACGTACACATATGATAAAAGGAATGTCACCATCGTGTTCTACGCCCAAAATTACCCATAAAACATGTGTCACAGGCTGCGAATATCAGTTTTGATTTTCGGGGCTATGTGCCTACCCGGTTGACCTGACCTTGACCCTGACCTATGCTTGACTGACCCCTACATGGAGGTGACACTCTTGTAGACCTTATATGATGGATTGTGCACCGTTTTGACAGAGTTTATGACGAGAGGCGCCCATTGCGAAGTCCTGAAGTCCATGCTACTGAAAGCCCGATTTCGGGTGTTTGACCTGACCTTGACCCGACCTGTGACCTCAAAATTCAACTTTGAAGTACTCATCTGAAGCGTCTTGTCGCGTTCTTTCGTTTGCCGCCTCGTGCGTTTCGCTGCGCCTATTGGTTCTCGAGTTATCGGCTGGGGGCGTTTAACGCCCCCCCCCCCCCAGCAAAAGGTGGGTGGCGAAATACCCCAGCAACTGCCGGGTTAAGAGAATGATATAAATATTGCTACAATGAGATAACTTTTACCATCCTGCAAATCAAATCGCCTGAGCATGAAACCCATGTAAATGCGTGAACTATTCGCGTTGGATGATAGATCTGCAGTAGCGTCGCTGTTCGGTGGTGCATTACGCCGACACATTACCATGATTAAACGTCACCGCCTTCACGGTCGGCAGAGCTGCCGTGGCGGCCGGCCGGAGCCGAGCGGGCCCGGCAAAAACGCCCGGCTCTGCAGGGCAGAGAGAGATTGCTGAACCTCATCCGCAATCCAAGGGACTTTTGGACGGAGGAACGTTTTGGCTGTTGTTACTTATAATGGTACTAAAGATTTTTTTGCGTTGATGGAGAAATAGAGTAGGTATTGAGAAATAAAATAAGCCATTGCATTGGCGGGTGTATGTACATATTGTCCAGGTGTTGTTGAGCTCTAGCTCCTACAAGTTACTGCATATAGGCATGCTGCCCAGCTTGACCAAACTTTTGCTCAACCCTTCGTGATGGCGATTCAAGCGTAGATGTTGAGAAAAACGGTTTTTATGAGCCCACCCGTCTCTTCTAATTCGACTACAATGAATACAAGCTGTTTCGATGTATTGTAGGTATGTGACACTCAAAGTTTGCGCATAAGAATAATTTTGAAGTTTCAGCAGCTGGTGGCCTTTTACCCAAATCTAAAGGTAGCTTTCGGTCAAATGCGTTATATTGTGAATCCTCATAAAAGGTATAATAATGCATGAAAGCCTTTTGCCAAACGCTGTCAACTTCAATTCAATCAGCCCTTGGTTTGATTAAAATACTTTTAGATAAAATAGAATAGCAATGACATTCAGCAGACTTCATTTTTAATTGCGTAACTATCTGTTGCCACCAGCTTTATGACAGTTGATCCTCATAAACGCTGCAGGCAAAGCTCCATAATGACAGAAGCGCAAACTTGGAAAGCCTTCCACGTACACATTTCTAGGAAATGTAAGCACTATGGCAGAGTAAAGATCTGAAGTTGGTAGCATGTCAATCACTTTAAAGGAAGGCTGCCACCTTCAAAAAGTTTTCTCAGATCGTCCTATGATTTATTCTCTGGACAAAACAAAATTTTAGAATTCACCTGACAAAGTATCATCACGTGAATCGCGAAAAAAATTGTCGATTATCATACAATTATCAATCGGTTAATGTCTAGCGACAATGTTTACACATCACTAGACTTCAAGGTCATAAGATTATTACATTTTATTTGAAAAAGTAAGGTATTTTATGATTTACTATTATATGATTTCATAAGAAATTGGCCATGTTTAATTTATTTTGCATTTAAGTTCGTAAAACATTTAAAAATTCATGGCTCATTTGGAATGGGTCTGGCCCATGTTAAACCCCATTTCCCACACTTTTTTGGAAAAAATGAACTACTGAATATACAAGTTTAACTTTTATTTTGACACTCCAAAATTCTTCTCTGATCTCGAAACAATCAAAGTTTTGACATATATTTACCAAAAGATAAGAAAATTCATGTTTCAAAGTTATCGATAAACAGTAGAGATGTCGGTTTTCTTGGACTAAAAAAATGGCATCAAACTGAACTTTGGTCTCCGATTTCTCGCAAACGGGTTCGAATTTCGGAAAACCGACTTCAGTCTGGGACATAGGTGGCTCAGCTCTAGTGAAAACCGTTTTGTGGAAAAAAGGTGGCAGTCTACCTTTAAACAATGGCCTTTAGTTGCTAATTTCACATTTATGTTCTTTGTCATCGTGTCAATTAAATGTCCTAGTTGTTGTACAGTTGACCTATTGACGTAATTGAGATTAAACGTTAGCTATGTGCCGCGCACCCATATCTACATATCTATAATTTCGCATCTGAAGTTAAACTTTTGTTTGTACCGGCCTTCTTCTAAACGGAAAATAACGCTTCTGACGAGAAGTGTCATCAGCATCTCCACCAGGTCAGCACCATCACTCATCAGCATCCTTATTCCTAAGCGTCATCAGCTACACCGTCAGAAACTTCAATAAGTGCTTCCACCATTACCATCAGCCTTCCATCAGACACCATCAGCCTTCTCTAGCACCGTCAGTTGCCCGTCAGTACTATCAGCCTCCAGCAAGTGTCATCAGCCTATACAATAAGTGTCATCAGCCTCCAGTAAGTGCCATCAGCCATGTGAGGGTCTCCTCGACAGTGCCATCAGCCGGACAATCAATGACCCTGGTGACGTCACAACACGGTCCTCTCAGCACAGCGTGGAGACGTCAGTTATATGTCCCAGTGACGTAATCACGACGTCATCAGCGTGCACGGGTGGCCGGCGCAATCAGCCGGTCGTTCTGTCCGGGCCCTCTGCGTCTGCCGATGGAGCTGCTCCCGGCCGCGGCGGTCGGCCGGACAGACAGTCGCACCATTACTGAGCTGCCCCGACCAGCCTCTCCCCTCCCTCCCCTCTCCGCCCCGTGGACACTTCTCCAGCACTAACGAGCGCGCGGCTGATAACCTGGTTATCTGCGCCGCTGCCCCGGCGACGACCCTGGACGCTGGTGGGTGCGGAACAGTCCGCAGGCCGACCACACTGGGCGTGGGCGCACAATCCACGTCAGACTGGGGTGGTGAGGGGGCTGATGTTGGGCTGACGAAACCGGCGACAGTCCTAGTAGCGAGCCTCGACTGTCACTGGCTGGGCATACGATAAAAAGAAGCTGCTGATTAAACGTGTTTCTATATGACGGATAAATAGGTAGACGGGGATATCCAAACAAGTCATCAATTGCTTATGCATGCGTTAACACTAGGTAGCAAGCGTTTAACATGATATACGGCATTAAAGTGACTTTCCTTTAGAAATGGAAATTTAGTGATAAAGTGGCGAAAATTTCGTCAAAGTTAACTATCCACCATGAAAAACGGATAGGTGCCCTGGAAAATAGATAAAAGCAAAGAATAAATGATGTGATGAAATGAAGCAACAGGCACCCTACTTACATCGTTTTTTTTTTGCAAAAAGCGTTGTAGTGGTTTTCCGGATCCTAAATAAACTGTAATGGACAATCTTAATTTTGAGCGGTGTTTTCGAAGCATTGGAGGGCGTCGCTGTTTTTTATGAAAGACCTGACAATAGATCACAGAGGTAATGTTAAGAAATAATGAAATCGGCCCAGACAAATTTTCAGAAGTAAATTGCTGTGTGATTATTTCAAAGCGTGTGCTTGTTTGATAAGTGGTGCGAGAGAAAGTGGCTGCTTTTTCACTTAGATAGAATTATATTTTTTTACAGTGTCGTCTTTGAAGTGAAGGGCACAACAAGGTGACTCGGTCATGCTCCCGGACATGTATTCATTCAAAAAGCTTATTGCACCAGTGGGACCGCCCCAAGGGGGAGGGGCGGCAGCCAGCTCCGCCTGCAGTTTGCTCAGGCGGACAATGGACGCGGTACTGCGGCACACACACACACAAACAGACACACACACACACAGCTGAGCTCAGGACCACCGCGCGACCACCCACCGGTCCAACTTCAACACGCTAAAATACTTTTGTCTGACAACAACTCGACGAACTGGCCAACACTTTGACATCAACAGCTGGTCGGCCCGACGGCATCGTCCGCTGCTAGGCAGCGCCGTCGGACCGCGACCTTCCTACTTCACCAATCACCGTCACACTTCCAGAGGTCTGACGCCCGCGACCCAATCGATCACCCACACACTGACACAGCTCTGCTGGGATCGCACCTCCCGTACCGACCCATATCACCACTCCACGGTCCACCGTATCACTCTGAGCACAACGCGTAACAAAATAGCCCTCTGAGCCTAAAAAAGTTGAATTCGGCCCGGTGCGGCCCGGCCGATCCGGCTGAGTGTTCCCGATAGAGGTCAGGTCGGGTCACGCGGGCGCCAGGTCACGTCGCACTGTGCCCAGCGTCCGGCTGGGCTCTCACAGCGGCACCGGCGGGCCAGCGCCGCGCCCGCTGCTATACCTCGGTAACGTCCCCCGCAGACTCGTCGTAACCCTCGTCGGGACTCTCGTGTAGGCTCGAGTGCGCCGCCGTCACGTGGTCGCCGAATTTGACCGCGGGCCCGGCGGGCGGTGGCGCCGGTAGACCGCTGGTGTTGGGGTCACCGCGCGGCGGACGGCGCACCTGGCTGTACGTTGGAACCTCGTCATCAGTGAAGCCGGCCGGCGGTGCCAGAGGAGGGGGACTGTCCAGTCCCGGCGGACTGGGGAGGCCCCCTTGCAGCGGCGGCACGGCCTCGGCCACCGCCACGGGCCGCGTTGATCGAGGCGGAGGTGGCGGAGGTGGCGGCCGATTGGATATTGAGACCGACTGCATTTGGAGGAGCTCGGCGGCCGGCGGCTCTGCTGGCCGGCCGTGCGGCCGGTGCCGCGGCAGGCTGCGGTAGCCGGCCGGCGGCACACCGGCCAGCTGCTGGTGGTAGGACCGACTCCGGCCAACGGTGCCACTGCGGCGCGGCTCCGGCCCCGGGTGCACGTCCACATGCACCAGCGGCGCCGGCTCGTCGGGCCGCCAGAGCGCGCCCAGCCGCTTGGAGGAGCGACGACGCTCGTAGGTGAAGTCTCCTTCGGAGTGGCGATCGGCGCGGCGCGCAGTCGGCTCCGTGTCGCTCACCACGTCCGGGTTACTGTCGGCCGAACGGCGCGACGGACTGGTGCAGCACCGCTGGCCGATGTAGGTGACGTGCTCCCGACAGTCGGCCAGACCGCCGGGCGGGGGCCGACCGGCGCCCGCGCCCGCCGCGCCCACCGCCTTGGGCGCTGAGCACGTGCTGCTCGGCGTGTCCACAGCCGTGTTGATGACCCCGGTTTTCGCATCGGCCTCGACGGGTGGCCGCTGTCGCCGCCGGCGCGCGCATCGCAGCGCCACCAGGCAGACGAGCAGGGCCAGCAGTGCCAGAAGGAGCGCCAGCGAGGCGCCCACCGCCGCCAGGTAGGTGGGTCTCTGCGGCGGCGCAGACTCCGAGCTGCTGCTCCCCGGGGGCAGCAGGACGCGCAGGGTGTAGTTGACAGAGCTGACGCCGGCCACGTTGGTCGCCGTGCAGCGGAACACCCCCTCATCCGTGTCGGTGGCATTGAGGACCAGCAGCTGTCCGTGGCGCAGCGTGCCCGCCTGCTCGCTGTACTCACTGATTGCGTACGGCCGGTAGAAGACGGCATCAGAGTCGGACAGCGGCTGGTCGTTGAAGCTCCAGCTCACGTTGGCCGGCGGCTCGGCGTGCACCCGACAGTTGAGCGTCACGTTTTGATGCTCGGCCACCTCTATCAGCCACTGGTCGGTGGTCACCTCAGGCAGACAGGCCAGCTCGGGTGGCTCGGTGTCGCGCAGCGGCCGGCCGGCCAGACGCGGCGGCTCCGAGCATCGAGGCACCACCGCCGGCGGCACCTTGTACAGCACCAGCCAGCGGCGCAGGGGCCGCAGCCGGCAGTCACACCGCCATGGGTTGGCGTGCAGGTCCACCCCGTGCAGGCCCAGTGACAGCCCGTCCGGCTGCATGGTGGCCAGCCGGTTCCCGTCCAGCCGCAGCCACTGCAGCTTGGTCAGAGCGGCGAACGCGTCCTCCTCGACCGTCTCCAGCTCACAGCGCGACAGCTCCAGAGAGGTGAGCTCGCGCAGGCCTGTGAGACTGGTGCGCGACAGGCGCCGGATCGGGTTACCGCTCAGCGAGAGACGCATCAGCGCGGGAACGTCGGTGAAGGTGCGACCCGGGACGTCCGTCAGCAGGTTATCGCTGAGGTCGAGCTCCACCAGGTTCGTCAGACCGAACAGCGCGTGGTCGTTTACCTGAGAGAGCTTACAGCGCGCTAAGTAGATTCGCTGTAAGTTGATGAGACCCATCCTCTGGAACTTGTGCCGCGCCAAGATCTGGATGTTGTTTCCAGAAAAGTCGAGCACCTGTGTGCTGGAATCCATCGCGGCGGGGATGGTAAGCAGACCCTTACCGATACACTCCACTGTTTGTTTGCCGCCCTTCCACCGGCAGTCGCACACGCCTCCTAAACACTCGGCGCTCGATAGAGCCACGGCTGCGGCCAGCCACAGTGCGGCTGCCGCTGCCGCCACGCGCACTGCCATGGCGCCGCTATACGCACTCAGAGCCGGCTCGCCGCGACCACTGCCTGGTCATGGTCGAACCAGCTCAGTGCGGTGGTGAGCGCACTCTTTCAGTGACTCGAAGGTCACTGAGTCGGTCACTGGCGATCACTGATTTTTTCACCGACGGTCACTGCTGGTCACGCTGACCAGTGGTCACCGGCTGTCACTGCTGATCAGCAATGTCCATTGCCCACTGATTGTAGCTAATGCTCATTGATGGTCACTGTTGATCGTACTGTTCACTGATTTATGCTGGTCGTCACTGAGTGTAAATATTTTCACGCTCGTCCAGCCATTGATATTCTTACCAGCAGTTATCACGCCACTGTCACTTCACTGTCACGCTGTCACTGTCACTGACAGCCGCAGATAGCCGGCTGTCGGCTGACCGGGCCTCGTGCTGTTGATGCACAGGGTCCTCACTGCGACAGCTTCAGCTCAGCTTCGCGGCTCACTCGGACGGTCTCAGGCAGCATGTGCCTCGTGCGGCCACTGAAAAGAAAGAGACATGTGTAAGGTTCGCACGGGTTTCGGTCCTGTGTCGACGTAAATGATAGGTGACGTAGCCGACAGCCTCACCATTGGACGGCTTCCCCGCCCGACCTACCCATTATTGACCTAAAATGCGGGAGCAATTTCATTGGTTTCCATGCCAGCAGGCATGAAAATTCTAATGGATTACTTTTCCGAGAGTGATTGGTCGCCAGGATAAAGTATCTTCGCCCACGCCGAAAAATGTAAGGATACGTGCTGTCAAGATCGGCCAAAATAGCTGCTGTCATAATCAAATGGCTTGACATTTCTCAGGTGTGATGTTCAAGTTTTCATTCAGACATTACCCTTTTCAAGCCTGGTTGTGTCGTGTTTACAAATTGATCCAGTAAAAGATCGTAAGCAGTATCTTCCACATTTTTGTATGAAAGCACCAGGCTCGAAAAGCATACGTCAAGAACATCGATTTAAGCTGATATTCTTTTCATAGTGTCTGATAATTTACAGTCTGTAATTGACGTTATTTGACGGAGAGCCCGGCGCTGTGGCATGTTTCCGGAGCAGCGGCTGTGACCTTCACCGCGGCCACCCACCCAGCCCCACCGGCGCCAGTCGGCGCTCACAGGCACTTCTGCGCCCGGCCCTGTGGTGGGTATTGGCAATCATGGCCAGTGGCAATACACATCGCCCACGGATTACAGGATTTCCAAAGAAGCCCATTTGTATATTACATAGAAGAAAGTAATGACAAGTAATAGGTGTCTAATTATTTGTCATATTTACACGGAAACACGATTAAAACTGTTCATGAACTTTGTGCATTGCAACATAGGCTGACAGCTCGTAACTACACTTCTTACATTTCTGCAATAACATGCAAGTGCAACAAACCCGCACATGCATGAACACAGCGTCTACAAAAAGAATCATTCACAATTGTCATGCCCTTAAAATAGTCGCCATATGAACCCGTTGCTCTCCGTTATATTTCGATATTTAACTAAGCCATCCCACAACGACAAGCACCAAGCTCGTCCCCAAACTAGGTGTCGGCTCGCTGTCACGGTCTCTGAGCGAGTTGGTGGCAAAAGTTCGCCATGTTCCGGAGATAGTGTCAGCCTCCGCTCGGTGTGAACGTTATCTGCGGCGGTTCTGGCAGCCAACGACCGCCCAGGGCCGACCGCCGACCAGCGAACAGCGAGTGCCGACCGCTGAGGGCCGACCAGCGACCGCCGATCATCAACCACTGACCGCCCAGAGCCGACCGCCGATCAGCCAGCGCCGACCAGCCAGCGCCGATCGCCGACCATCAACCAGCGTCTGCCGACCAGCGAACAGCGAGCGGTGGCCAGTGACCAGTGACCGCTGAGGGCCGATCACCGACCAACGGCCAACGACCGACGACCGACGACCGACGACCGACGACCGACGACCGACGACCACCACCGCGCCGACCGCCGCGCCGTTTTGCTGGTTCGCTCGCTGCCATTTCGCCTAAGCTGTGGCAGAAACCAACCCAGTTCTCTTGATTAATGTACCTTTATATTGTCTATGCAATGACTGCAAACATACCAATCGAATGAAGCCCACATACCGATCGAATGGCACTATATAATTTGCATTTGTTGCAAATTTGAAGAAGAGGAAAATTGGAACACTTCCTTTGATTAGGTCGTGCTGCATGACGGCACTTTTAATGCATTGTTGAAACACAATTTAAATAAACCAAAATTGAAGCACTGCACTTTACTGGACCAATGCATCGGCCGTCCTATTTCAGAAGAGCGGCCCTATGACCGATGGAGTCGGCGGCATTGGTGATGAAATTGGCCTGATACACCATCAAATAATGCCGAATGGGACGTCGGGGCCTCGCTGCTGGCTATGGCTCAACTTATATCATTTGCGAGGCGAAATAGCTCATCCAATCTTTTATTGTGAAACATTTCTGGAGTTTGCATCTAGCCATACATACCTGTAAGGTACCAAATATTTAGCTAGTTTGTACGTGGCCGTTCCGCAAGCCGCGAAGATTGGGCGCAGTGGTACGCGCAGCTTATGAATCTTAGGAAGGCCATACAGAATACCTGGAGAAGACCCTGAAGCATGTAGGTCAGTATACACATCAGAAGAAATAGTATTTGACTTCTTAAGGCTACGAAGGACTCTATTCACTTTGTCCTCTACTTGAAGCAACACCTTGTGTAACGGTTGTGTTATGACAGAGAACTTGGAACGATCAGAAAAAATATCACCCATTTTTGCTTGATAGTCACCCCTATCCAGTATGACGACACCTTTACCTTTATCAGGTCTGGTCACCACAATCGATTCATCAGATGCGAACTCCTTTAGCAGTTGAATGTCTTTTTTGGAAAACACTGCAGAAAATACCTTGGAGGGCTTGAATCCATGATAGTAGTTGTAGGCAATAGTACTGCAATATTTGGTACCTATCCTCTCAGCTCTGACCGAATACCTGTAAGGATAGTGCATGCATATTCGCTCTGTGTACCACAGAAAATATTTTGCCTATGCACCATGCATGATCGTATCATGTGTGCATCTCCATCACAAGACTTCCAGTGAAAGTTGCATGCTGTTGCGAGACCAATAGGTATCAAGCTCTCTTGTGCGCATTGGCAGTTTGTTATCTAACTTTGCTAAATCAAAGTTATGCACTGGTTTAACGAGCAACGCATGCCCATGATAAGCCTGTCAGTCATCCGATGTTAACAATGCCGGTCCCACCATACTCCAAAATCCTCCACTCCCTTGCAACCATAAGCCTCGCCTATAACACCTACCATACAATGGCCACTTCATAAAGCGTCGTTCCAGCCCTCCATTCCTCTGCAGCCCATGAGCCTCCCCACAACGCCTTCAGAACAATAGCCACTTGCCTTTCATTTGCATGTGAACATGACCCGGGCTCTCGTAGTGCGCCCACCTGACGAGCTGGCGACAGTTTCGGCGGGGCAGAATGATTCCGTGCGGTTGCCGCGTCTCGGGATGCAGCACTAATGGGGCCAATAAAATGGACGCCCGACCCAGAGAGAGCTGTGCCAGACCGTCGGCCGGCCGGCGCAATATATGGAGGAACCCTGAAGTGTATGGAGGAGCAGTATATGAAGGAACGGTGCAGTGTATTGAGGGTTGGAGCAGTATGCGGAAAGGCAGGGAAGTTTACAATATACATAGAGGACAAGGTATTTGGAGGAACCATGCTGTATATGAAAAACCAGGAAGCGTATAGAGATCTGGATTGGTATATGGCCGGCCGGCCGCGCAGTGTATGGCTGGCCGGCGCAGTGTATGGCTGGCCGCGCAGTGTATGGCCGGCCGGCCGCACAGTGTATGGCCGGCCGCGCAGTGTATGGCTGGCCGGCGCAGTGTATGGAGGGCCGGTGCAGTACATCTATGCAGTCTGCCGCTGCTAACCGGCGCCGTTTATAGAGCCGACGGCGGCCGCCCCGCCTCTGACCCGTTCCGCGAAGGGCGGACTGACGGCGGTCGGTCGCTCGGTCGGGCCGGGGCCGGGTTGGACGGCAGGGTCGATAGCAGACACGGCGGCCCGCCGACCCGCTTTGCAGCCGTCCGACACTCGACTTAATGGCCGCATGAGCGGGCTGTGACGGCCGCCTTTGACACGTGGCGGCCACCCGTCGGCCCACGCTCCACGCCCGGGCGGCCAGTCCGCACATTGGCACCCCGGCGGGAGCGCTTAGTTAGCAGCACGGACCGGCACGGCTAGTTCGCAGCGTAAAAATATTAGAGCAGAGGTTTAAACGAGTGATATAGGGCAAGTAGGTAATCGCGGAGCAATGCTTGGACCTGCCAGGTTTCGTGCACTCCAGCAATGTGGTTATTCATCGTTATTATTATCGTGTAGTCACTATTCAGCGGGTATTTCATACGACGTAGTGAAAGCGCTAAATGCATGCGAACATGCTATTCCTGGTCACGGACATCCGTGCAGGGATTTGAGCTACAACAGCGTTGTAGGATATGTCAGCGAATAAGCATGCATGTACAAATGTTAAAATTAATAATAACGTCATACGATATATATGACAGAGTTATACCAATACGAATCGTATATTTCAGTACATATGTAAGTACAGTCCGTTCCGCAAAAGACGTTAATAGCTCAGTATTTAGAACCGCTTAGCATGTGTAATGAGCATGACAGGCCACCACTACTAGCAATATCATTAATGCAAATGGCGAGTAAAGATAGTGAGACGCTGCTGCTTTCTTGTTTTCGTTTTCAAAGAATTTATATAATATAACGAAATGGAGCCACAAGTCCGGAATCTTACAATATATTAGCTTTTGGGTCATTACTATTTCTCAAGTATGAAGTGGGTGCGAGCCTGTATCGTATATTTGTTTGGATATAGGAGCTTCAACGTTCCAGTGTCCATAAATTTGCAGCCTTCACCGGTGGAATAAGTCCCCCCAGGCAATACGTTCACCCTGCTGGCATTTATTTCTGAAATATCGATTGAATGGGGCACATCGAAGCTCTTTGTCAGAATTATGACGCTTAGAACGTACCACTTAACCTGAAACAAATAACCTATAACTGCGTGACCAAGAAGGATTGGTAGGTAGGTATTGATTAACATGCGTCACCTCGTCCACCACATGTTCATTTTTTGTCGTTTCAATTCATTGCTGAAAGCCGTCACCAATTTTTCAAATTGCTTACAAACTGATATAACTTTTCACCCTGATCATCTTCCTCTTTTCGCCGTCGAAAAGCAAAAAGCGATGAAGACTGTTCACGAATACGGGGCATGCGTGTGCTGCGGCACACTGCGCTGTTCAGGCGCAGCGATAGCAGAGCCATCTATGAGCCAGCTATAAAGTTACTGGTCATCCGCTGACAGACGCGTCGCTGACAGAGCTGATTGTGAATCTGCCTGAGGGTGCCCGGGTCTGTGTACCACAGCGGCGACGGTCGGGAAGTTTCCAGCTGGCGCAGTGTTA